TTTTTTTTTAAAAAAAAAAACTTTAAATAATGCATTTTTGGTTTTTGAATTTAGTTTTGAAATAAAGTGCTGATGCAAGAATGGAGTGCTTCGTTTTCTGCTTGAGCGGGGGATTGAAATATGGGTACACAGTGCTTCAGGTTTAACACTGTAGCCATTGCAGCACACCTCAGGTGTCTGATGGCCCATTGTTACCATCAAAGATCTTCTCCTGTGCGTAGCTTCCTTCCTTTCAAAGGCTGTAGTTTGATGTAGCTACCTGGGGTTGGACTGAAAACAAAATGTTTGCTTGATAGGTTGACAAATCTTTCTTTTTCTTCTTTTTCCAATTTTCCCTTTTGAAACAGTGTCTGTGACCAAAGTAACAACCATGTTGTTGACCGGTTTGCCATGAATCTTTTGTCCTCCATGCCTCCAGATGCCATCATCTTGCTAAGAGGGGACCTGCCTGGGAATTCTCTTCGCTACATGCATCACTGTGAGGGTATAAGACCTGATATCACCTTAGTTGACCAAGAGGTCAGTAGAATATCATAGAATGGCTGCAAATCAGAAGTCCCCCTTTTGAATTTTGCTTCTGCCATGGAGATGCTGAATACTAGATAACTCTCTGCATTTTAGCACCTTTAATCACAACTGAATAGAGATCAGCGTAGGATAATAGTGTTCCTATTGCCATTTCCTATGCTACCATATTGCATCTGTTCTGGGTCATTGGTGAATTGTGTTTTCCTGATTTATGAATGTGCTTCTTGTTACAAGATGTGCAACTAACTGGGTCCTGTAGTACTGAATAATAGAAACTAGCCTCTGGGCTAGTTTCTTGCTTCTAAGGGAGCTGGCAAAAACAGAAGGCAAGTTCAACAGCTGTCAGTCTTCCTTGAATGTTGCAGTGATGGAAAGCAGGAATCACCTTGCCTTTAAATGTGGTTCACTTCTTCTCCAAAGCAGGCTGGAAATACCAAAAGAGAAACATTGGGTCATGATATTCTATGAGATGTTGTTCATACATGTCCTGCTTTAAAGAATTCATTCCCTCCCTCCCTCCCTCTGTCTCTCTGCCTCCCTCCCTCTCTCTGTCTTCCTCTGTCTCTCTTTCTCCTTCCCTCCTCCTCTCTGACTTCCTCCTTCCCCCTCTCTCTCTCTGTCTCCCTCTGTCTCCCTCCCTCTCTCTGTCTCTCTTTCTCCCTCCCTCCCTCTGTCTCTGACTCCCTCCCTCTGTCTCCCTCCCTCCATCCCTCTGTCTCTCTCTGTCTCCCTCTGTCTCCCTTCCTCTGTCTCTGTCTGTCTTCCTCTCTCTCTCCCTCGCTCCCTCTGTCTCCCCCTCTCCCTGTCCCTCCCTCTCTCTCTGTCTCCCTCCCTCGGTCTCTCTCTGTCTCTCTCTGTCTCTCTCTCCCTCCCTCCTTCTGTCTCTCTCTCTGTCTCTGTCTCCTTCTCCCTCTCTCACCCCCTCTCTTTCCCTCTCTCCCTCTCTCTCCCTCCCTCTGTCTCCCTCCCTCTGTCTCTCTCTCTCTCCCTCCCTCCCTCTCTCTCTCTTTCCCCTCTCTCTCCCCCCTCTCTCCCTCTGCCCCCTCTCCCCACTCTTTCTCTCCCTCTCTCCCTCCCTCCCTCTCTCTCTCTTTCCCCTCTCTCTCCCCCCTCTCTCCCTCTGCCCCCTCTCCCCACTCTTTCTCTCCCTCTCTCCCTCCCTCCCTCTCTCTCTCTTTCCCCTCTCTCTCCCCCCTCTCTCCCTCTGCCCCCTCTCCCCACTCTTTCTCTCCCTCTCTCCCTCCCCCCCTCTCTCCTTCCCC